CTAACACCGCCCCCAATGATCCCACCTTCTCGGCCCTCAGGTATTCTCCTTCCTCTTAGTGCGGGCTGGACCTAGAGACTCCCCTCCAGTGAATAGAATACGGCAAAATGATGGGATGGCCCTCCCAAGATTAGGTAATAAGAAGACCGTGGCTGTCTTGGGCTCTCCTGCTTTCTCTCTCCCTTCCTGATCACTACACTAGGGCACTGACGTGGCCCAAATTGTAGAGGCCCGCTGCCATGGTATGAAGCTGAGGCCCTCAGACCAGCAGTCCATGGGAGTGCAACCTGGAAGTGGTCCCTACCCCTTGCCACAGCTGAACCTTCGCTGAGACTGATAGTGTCACTGTGCCCTCATGAGAGACCTTGAACTGAAACTGCCCAGCTAAGCCACGGCTGGACTGAAACTGCCCAGCTAAGCCACAGCTGAACCGAAGCTGCCCAGCTAAGCCATGGCTGAACTGAAGCTGCGGTATTTTGGGATAACTATTTAGGCAGCAATAGGTAACTAACATATTCCCTCTGAAGAACCTGCCAATCTCCCTTAAATAGAGAGCCCGTATGATTAATCATCTTGACCAGGACAACTGCAAATGAAATCACACTGGGAAGACAGATGTGAACTTGGACCGTTCCTGGAAAATCAGAACATGGAACAAGAGGAGCACCTGTGGCCTGTTTGGAATTCTCCTCGCGTCAGCTCCTGTGGTCCTTTCATGACCCACATCCTACCCGCTGGAGGTGCTGGATGCCGGCTTCTCACTGCAGGAACACTTAGGTCTTGGCGTTCTTTACTTTGGCATTTGCCCCTGTATGGCCTCAAGAGGCCCAGTTGTCTTCAGTGCTCCATGCCCTCTTGCACAGGGAACACTGCAGGAGCTCTGTCCCCTCAGCTTCATGACCCGGCCCTGCCATCTCTGCTTTCTGCCATGGGCATTGTTGGCAGGAAGACCTGCATCCTGCTTGGAGTCCAAGCCAACAGTAGGCCCCCCTCTCTAGCAAACATGGCTCTGGTGGTCCTTCTGATAAAGGTTGAGCTGACGTGGGGCAAGGAACAGAGTCCCCTACTCCAGGAGGGTTTTTGCAGGAATGCTGTGGGCTGGGGCTGGAACATGTTCAGGATGAGCCCCTCCCTCCATTTCTCATGGTGCCTGCTTCCTGCCCTCTTGCCTCTGAACACCCATGGTTTCTATGATCTCCATCCTGAATCCCAGAAGGAACCATTCTGATTGCTTTGCAAATTAACTCGTGCTCTGAAGAGGTTGTTCTTAAAATCAACAACAAAACACAACACAACAGACCTAAAAGCAAAAGCCAAAGGAAGCACCCCATGAGAACAGGAGACTCACAGGAAGCATAGGTTGAGGAAGCTGCCAGTCCTTGCAGGTAAGAGGCTGCATTCAGGCAAAGGCCCACAGTCTCAGGGCTGCGTGCACAGCCCAGTTCCTTTGGCCTAATCTCTGCTGTCTAATGTAAGTTCTCTCTAAGCCTGATGGCCCCTTTTCTGGCCCTTTGTTGCCACAGAAATGGCCCAGCCAGCTGAGCCTCTGTCCAGGCTCTCCAGTAGCATGAGAGGCTCATGCCCCCCACCATTGTGGGGAGGCTGCTGACTTATTTATGGGCCACTTTTAGGAACAGTGCCCACACAGGTGCACAAAGCCACTACTCCTGGGCAACAAATAGCCATGTTGGCTCCTTGAGCAGGAACTGAGGGTGGGGCCCAATCAGCTGGAATGGAACACTGGTTATGGTAGCACCCTCGAAGCCCCTCCAGAAGGGACTCAACCATGTTGTGACTGGTGAGGCACTATCATGATTGAAATATTGAATCACATTGAAATAATAAATCAAACTCAGTAAGAATATAAATAAAAGAGCCAGCCATGGTGGCTCACGCCTGTAATCCCAGCACTTTGGGAGGCCGAGGTGGGCCGATCACCAGGTCAAGAGATCGAGACTATACTGGCTAACATAGTGAAACCCCGTCTCTATTAAAAATACAAAAATTAGCTGGGCGTGGTGACGTGTGCCTGTAGTCCCAGCTGCTTAAGAGGCTGATGCAGGAGAATCACTTGAACACAAAAGGGGGAGGTTGCAGTAAGACGAGATCATGGTACTGCACTCCAGCTTGGTGACAGAGCGAGATTCCATCTCAAAAAAAAAAAGAAAAAAAGAATATAATTAAGAGGCTGAAAATGAATCCCCATTAATTGGAATTACCTCTTGAACTAATTTTTAAATAGTGCCTCACTACTTAGGGACCATCGACCATAGGGACCACCCATTTATTTCAACCACATTGTGGGGCCTCCTGTCTTAAAGTGGAGACAAAACCCTCATGGTCACTTCTGATGGGGTGTGTGGTGACAGCAGTTTCTCTGGCTCTCTCACAATTCTGAGCTTTGCAGTGGCAGGAAGTGAAAATGACTCCTCAGAGGCTTCACAGTGGTGGACCCCTGGTGTTGCCCCTTCCCTGACCACCTGAGGGGAGGTGGGCAGGGGCAGCCACACATAAAGTGCTGCCCCATGCCCTTCTGGTGTGACACTGGCGGTGTGATATAGCTCATCCTGACACTGCAGGTGTCACAGTGAGCTGGAAAGTACTGGTGACTGTGTTCCACCTTTGGGCTCCATTCATGGGGGCTGCTTGCAGAAGCCCCCCGGCAGCCAGTACTCACAGTTCCCTCCTCTCCATATAAAGCCTCCTTTCTATGGGAGTGCTCATATGTTAGCAAGCTCGATGTTAATTAAGCATTAATTGGGTGGAGACCAATTGATTTCTCTGTCAGCTGCTCCAGCTCCCATTCCAAAGTATCTTTGAAAGGCAATAAAACATGGAATTTTGATAGATCTTTGCAAGACAGGCATATGAGCAAATGATTTTACTTTCTCAGTTGCTAGAGCTTTTTAAAGTGATTACTAATCAGGGCCCAATTCAATTTCTCTTAAGTGTCTGCTCTAAGAGGTGAAAACTTTTCAAGGAATTTAACAGGGGGACACTTGCAACTTCTCTTGATACACAAACTATAGCAAATGGTCTTCTTCCTGTCAAGTAATTTCAAAAAACTATTAAAAAACCACACTGAAAAAATTTCAAAACGCTTCAGGTAGAGAACTTCAATTCTTCTTAGAATATGATTAATAAGAGACTGAAAAATGAACCCATGTTTATTGGCGTTGTTGCTTAAACTAATTTTTAAATACTGCCTCACCACCTAGGGAAAACTAAATCACCTTTTCAATGAAGAGACACAAGGTAATTTAGAGTCACTAAACAGGCCATTAGGAAATATGTCTCTTGCCTAATAGTTAACCCACCCCCCGTCCCCCCACACAAATAATTTCCAATTTAGGATGGTTTGATGTATGATGTTTTGACTTCTTGCTGGTGTGAAAGTGATACACATTCAATATAAACTCTATACAACTGTGCTCTTTTTCACTCTCAGTACAGTATTCAATAAATGACATGAGGTATTCAACACAACTATAAAGTAGACTTTGTGTTAAATGATTTTGCCTAACTGTAAGTGCTCTAAGCACGTTAAAAGAGGTCTACACTTTTTAGAAAAACTTTTAGAAGCTATGATGTTGGAATGCATCTTTGGCTACGGTATTTTCTTTTTCTTTTTTTTTTTTTTTTGAGACGGAGTTTCGCTCTTGTTACCCAGACTGGAGTGCAATGGCGTGATCTCGGCTCACCGCAACCTCCGCCTCCTGGGTTCAGGCAATTCTCCTGCCTCAGCCTCCTGAGTAGCTGGGATTACAGGCACGCGCCACCATGCCCAGCTAATTTTTTTTATATTTTTAGTAGAGACGGGGTTTCACCATGTTGACCAGGATGGTCTCGATCTCTTGACCTCGTGATCCACCCGCCTCGGCCTCCCAAACTGCTGGGATTACAGGCTTGAGCCAGCGCGCCCGGCCGGTATTTTCAACTTACGATGGGTTTATTGAGATGCAACCCCGTGGTAAGTCAAGGAGTACGTGTATATGCACACACAAAACTACAGATAAGTAAGGTATTCCCCAAGACTACCTTAAAGACAAACAACGCTACCCGGGGCCCAGGACTCCTGCTCTGAGCGGAGGCCTCCCTGGAGCGGTCCGGCTCTTGTCAGCGCCTGGCGCTCTCACACAAACGCCGCTTCCTTCAGCGCGGGCCTTACAAAGCCGTGCTGTTCCCGACGGAACAGCCTGTGGTCCAGTGTTGCACATTTCAGTATTTCCCAAACAGAAAGTACTGACCGTCACTGAATGTTTTCTACACGATTCCAATCATTGTCCCTATTCATAAAACGACTTTCAGCGTTCGGGGAAGGCACCAGTGCCCGGCTCTGGGCTGGACTACGGGGCTATCTGAGAAGAGCTGGAGGCCGGGGCTACCTCGGGAATCTCGCGGCGGGCACGGGTCCCAAGGCCTCCTGCGACAGCACCGGGTGGTAGCCCAGGCCATGCACACCGGAGCCTCGCGGGGCTGCTGGCCAGGAGACCCGGGCAGCAGGTGCGCGGCCGCAGGGCCCTGGCAGGGCTCCTTCGAGAAGGGGTCTTCGGAAGCAACCCATCGAAGAGGGAGTGGGAGGTGCTTCGGATGCAGCCCCCGCGGAAATAACCCAAGTGGTCTCGTGAGAAAGAAACCGGCCTCACTCTGCTTAATCCAGAATTTATCAAGCGTATATGGTCACAGACCGCCCCCCTCCAACGGCCCCGGTGCTCTGGTAGGACACCATTACTTTTATAAGAACTGCTGTGCACAGCATGCAGAATGCCTTCAGCAGGCCTAACCGCCAGCTTCCTCCCGGACGGGTTTACCTCACCCTGCAGCCCAGGATGCCGGAACAGACCCGGCCCTGTCCCGCCTCGCCTCGTTCCCGCCCCCTCCTCCCCAAGCTTCGCCCTGTCCACGCCTCCTTCCTGCCCCGCCCCACCCCTCCATGCCCGCCCTTCCCCCCGGCCCCTCCCCCCACCGTTCCGTCCTCGCCCAGGCTCCTCCCCCTCCCCGCCCCCTGCTCCATCCCAGCTCCGCTCCCCGGGAGAATCGAGGCCTTTGCTCACACCAGATGGGTCGGACTGCCTCACATGACCTCCTCTCTGGGGCTCACTTGCTATTTCCGAAAAGGGGGAAAGGATTTGGGGAGGACAATCCCGGCGCCTCCTGCTGGCTTTAGGGAGAGACAGGGCTGGGCTGGAGGAGAGCCCTGAGGAGCAGGCGGAGGTGGGTTGGCGAGGACCTTGTGTGACTTGTGCCGAGAAACTTCACTTATTCTCAGCGGTTGGCAGTTGTCAAACTACGTCTTATAGATGCTAAGTCACCATAGAGGTATCTTAGGTAGGTTGCAAATGCTTGATTTGAATTACTTTTTTTTTTTTTTTTAACCAAAGTATTTTAAATGATTTTTAAAGCTTACTTTAAAAGACCGCTCAAATGTGCTGTGTCTCATTTATGGTTCGTTATTCACATGCAAGAGGAGCTGGCTCTGCTATTGACAAGAGGGCTGCTGGTTCCCTCTGGAAGTGATTTTGAAAAATTTTAAGCAGCAAAACTTCCTTCCAAACCGAGAATTATGTGGTGCCTCAATAAATAAGACTGATATAAACTATATTTATTGAGATAGAGTGATTTTATAATCTTTATTGAATAGTTGATAACCTAGGGAAAGAAAGATGGAGCTGCAAGGAGGGAAGGCAGAAGGGAAGGGAAGCATCTCCAGGCTGTAGGTGGGAGAGGGAATGAAATGGTGGCTTAGACAGGTGCAGGAGGAGTGAAGGACTCATGGGTCGAGAGTCTTGCCTTTCCAGCTCCCGGTTCTTTTCTTGCTGATGGATTGGTTGTGGGTCATGGGGTGGCAAAAGAAAACCAGGAAGACTCTTGAGATTTCGGCTTGAGCGACTGGGCAGATTCTGGTGCCAGCTGTTGAAGTGGAGAGTGGGAAACTGAACGTGCCCTCCTGAGGGCATGCCCTGGTCTCGTGTGTGTGTGGGTACACTTTTGGGCGGTTACAGGAGGTAATGGTAAGGAATGATAACAGCAGAACATCAGCATAAGTGTGATAAAGGATTATAAAAATCCAGCCATCAAGGTAAACTCAATGTAACTACTCTTGCAAATTGAATAGCCTCTGGCTTTTACTAAAAATGGAATAAGGGATAGTAACTGTAGCTTTAATTCTATAACAACAGAGCTAAAAATCCACCGTAGCTATGTAGATTGCTGGCTACCTGAATGCATTCAGGTTTTTTCTAAATAATAAATTATCTAATAATTCTCTGTTTATGAATTGATGTGTCTCTTTGGGTCTTGGTTTCTCTTTTGCCCCCACAAGTTTGGTGACAAGGTTGGGACACCTTGAGCAAGCCTTTCTGCTGGGCTAACTGGAGGATGTGTAGCCGTCTCTGGTCAGAGAAGAAGCCCTATTTGCTGAAGTCTTTCTTCAACACTTTGACTCGGTAAGTCCATCTTTTGATCGATCCTACTGCTGTAGCTTACACTAAAGAAAAATCATGGTCATGTGTGAAGCTATATCCTCTCCCTAGCTCAAATGCAGGGACTAGAACCTATAATTAGAGAGCTAGAAAGAGAATAATGAAGAAAGGACATTTGCCTTGTAATACTGTCTCTATACTACCTATGAATAAGGAAGGAAAATTAACAAAGAAGTTTAGCTTGCTTACAGATTTTTACAAGATCTGGTAGAAACATATTTTTGGCATGTCTGACAGTTGTAGTACTCAACACTGCTACTGTCTTACCTCCTATTGTGGGACCTAACTAATTTTAGTAATAAACTTATGTCGAGTTTTCTTTTCTATACCTCTAGCTTTCCATATTAGTGGCAATGCATCCCCCAGGGATTCAGAGATTTGCTTACTATAATATCTAGACATTTACAAAATAACTTAAAGAATCTTTCCCCACATCAGGGGTCCATATATGGATATATATGGATGATTTATTGATAGGTAACACCTCATGTGCTTGTAAACAAGATGCATTAGGCCAGACATGGTGGCTCACATCTGCAAAACCAGCACTTCGGCAGGCTGAGGTGGGTGGATTGCTTGAGCTCAGAGTTCGAGACCAGCCTGGGCAACATGGTAAAACCTCATCTCTACAAAAACATACAAAAATTAGCTAGGCCTGGTGGTGGGTGCCTGTAGTCCCAGTTGTTAGGGACTGAGCTGTGCTGCCTCAGAAAACCCCCTCTGCGTGGACTGACCCCACCTGCCTCTGATTGCTCTGCAGCTGCATTCCTGAACCCCTACCAAGGTGCCACAACAAGCTTGCCAGTCGTGCTACTATTAAGCAAAGCCTAATTACAGCTATCAGGGCAGCATGGGCAGCCCGTGGGAGGGCAGGAAAACCATACGTTGGTTATCTGTACCTGTAAATTCTATTTGACACAGATCTGTAAAAAATCCTGATTTCTGTCCTTTTTTGTTTAAAGACTGCCACCACAAAAGTCACAGGATGATGTATTGTAGGTCTGTTGCAAGTTAACGAATTATCTCTGCGCCTGTTACCTGCAATCCCCTTATGCCCCTCTCACCCCATAAAAACCCTTGTCTTGTAAGCTAGGGCTGCTGCCTCCTCTGAGCAGCCCCGCAGGTTAATAAACTTGCTTGCCTGACTTTGGGTCTGTTCTCCTTCCTCTCGGCAACCCTTACATTATTGGTGCCGAAGCCCGGGATGGGTAGGTTCTGGCCGGGCGTCCTTACTGGACTCTCTGGCCCTTTCTCTCTCCTTCCCTCCCTCTTCTATCGCTTCTCTCCAGGCCATCCTCCCCCTCCCCAAACCTGCTGAAGACCCAGAAAATCTCCCAGACTCTCCCATTGCTGGTGACCGCATCCACCATCAGAGCCTCTGCTGGGGTGAGTAAGAGAGATTGTTGCCATTTCCCAGAACCCTTGACCCTCTCTGCCTTCCCAAAAGACCCAGCACTGGTCCAAGGGCTTCCTCCAGCCTCCAGGCCTCCGGTTCCTCCGTTTCAGGGACACCTAACTTGATGGTTACCTCCCAAATCCCGGACAAGGCCCGTGGGACCGGGACCGCCCTCTCCTGCTGTCCTTGTCAATCTGCAGTCTCTTCTTCCTCTCTCTCCCTCCCCCATTCGCTATGGGAGCCTGTCAGTCTACCCCTTCCAAGACTACCCGCCTTGGGTGTCTCTTGCTAATCTCAATACTCTCGGCCTCTGTTCAGAAGTCCATCTTAAGAGGCTTATCTTTTACTGTAATACCATCTGGCCTCAATACAAATTAGACAATGGTTCCCAATGGCCTGAAAATGGCACTTTTGATTTCAACGTACTTAAGGGCTTAGACAACTTTTGCTACCACAATGGGAAATGGTCTGAGATTCCTTATGTTCAGGCTTTCTTCACTCTTTCGTAGCTGTCCTTTGCTCTGCTGTCCTGCTCTACTTTCCAAATCTTCCTCGCTGGCTCCTAACCTGACTCCCTTCCTGTCACTCTGCCCACAGCTACGGCTGGCAACTCTTCTCCTGCCACATTCCCCACAGTCCCAGCCAACGACTCCTCTTCCTCTTACCTGGATGATTTTTTTCCTCCTTAACCACATCATGATCCCCCCACCAGAGCGTTGTAATCCTCCACCATACATCCAGCTCCAGCCCTCTGCTTCCCCCGCCACCTCCTTTCTCTTGGCTACCCTTACACCAGGTACTTGGGAGACTGTGCTGGGAGATCACTTGAGCCTGGGAGGTGGAGGTTCTAGTGAGCCGAGATCACACCAGTGCACTCCAGTCTGGGTGACAAAGTGAGACCGTATCCCCAAAACAAAAACAAGATACATTAGCTTTACCAAAATTCTAACCTCTCAAGGCCGTAAATCTCCTCCAAATAATTTGTAATATTGTTAAACCCAGGTCAAGTATTTGGAATATTTGTTATCAGCAGATGGATGGGAAATAGTTCTGTCCCCAAAGCCACCTGTTTTACAAATGAAGCAATAGCTCCAAGAAGCAATACCTTTGTCACTGTGAAGAAATAGCTCCACCCTGTTGAGGCTGTGCACACTGCAAGCAATGAGCCCTGCCTCTTCTGAGAGGTGAGCCACTCGTGGTGGTGCTGCCTGAAGCATCGTTAGATGCATTTTTGTAATTGCTAGCAGATGCTAAAGAAGCCTTCAGACCCTTAAGGAGCCATTGCTCTCCCATCTGTACTCGAGTCAGTTCCTAGCTGGTCATCTCTTCTCCCTTTCTGTAAGGGGAATAAGGGGGCTGGTAGTGGTGGCCATGCTTCCTCAAACACTAGCCTTTGGTTTAATTTTATGTGCCACTGGATTCTGTTGCTCCAGGGATGCCAGGCTGTTTAGAAGCCGTTCCAACATCTGGTCTCTGCTTGAGAAGGTGCAGGCCTTGGCTTGGGGGTGTAATTGTGTGGGCCTTGTGCTGTTGGGCTGTTGCTGCCTTTTTTTTTGAGACAGAGTTTCATTGTCACCCATGCTGGAGTGCAGTGGTGTGATCTCAGCTCACTGCAACCTCCACCTCCTGGATTCAAGCGATTCTCCTGCCCCAGCCTCCTGAGTAGCTAGGATTACAGGTGTGCACCATCATGCCTGGCTAATTTTTGAATTTTTAGTGGAGACAGGGTTTCACCATGTTGACCATGTTGGTCTCGAACTCCTGTGATCTACCCACCTCGGCCTCCCAAAGTGCTGGGGTTATAGGTATGAGCCACTGCACCTGGACTGTTGCTGCTGCTTTTTTTTTTTTTTTTTTTTTTTTGAGACAAAGTTTCGCTCTTTTTACCCAGGCTGGAGTGCAATGGCGCGATCTTGGCTCACTGTTCCTCCGCCTCCTGGGTTCAGGCAATTCTCCTGCCTCAGCCTCCTGAGTAGCTGGGATTACAGGCATGCACCACCGTGCCCAGCTAATTTTTTGTATTTTTAGTAGAGACAGGGTTTCACCATGTTGACCAGGATGGTCTTGATCTGTTGACCTTGTGATCCACCCGCCTCGGCCTCCCAAAGTGCTGGGATTACAGGCTTGAGCCACTGCGCCCGGCCACTGCTGCTTTATAAGTTCCTATGACACAGCACTTGTCAGTGCTCTGCAAGCATTACTGGCTGACCCTAATGGGATTCTAGGAAGCTGTGAACTTTGAGCCCAGTGACTCCATTGCCAGATCCTGTCTGGACAGCAGCACGACCGCCTCGCAGCCCCCATCATAGACTTGTGGCCTCCATCTGATTCATCCTATACATGTTAACTTAATAGCATTCACTGATGGGTCTTATGTGAGAGACACAGGAGGAGACAGAAAGCATCCAATGTAGAAGTCAGTTCTCATGGGATTCTAGAGGCTTGCGTTCCCCCTACACATAAAGTGAGCCCAGGCAATGGAGCTCAGGTTTTATATGAGCTGTTAAGAGTCACCACTGGTCTTAATGTGTGTATCTATATCAGTAGTAAGTGTACGATTGGGGTCTGTCATCCTATGGGACAAATTAAAAAATAGAGGCTTTCCAATGCTAATGGGAATGACAACATCATGGGGAAAGCAACTGCTCATTTCTGTAATTCCTCTACCGGCTCTGTGGAGGCCTAGGCGGGAGGATGTTGGGAGCTCCATGAACTGTTTTCTAGCTGCCACTCAAGTCATTTACCAGCATCCAAGCCTGGGGCTTGGGGAGGCTGAATGTAGGCAGGGGTAGTGGGGACAGGAACAGGAATAGATGAAAAAATACTAAGGAAGCACTTGGTGCCGATTGGAAGGCAAAGTTGTCTAGGAAATTGTCTGGGTTTCCAGGTTGGGCAATTAGGGTGGGTAGCTGAGACATTCACACATTCACTATTAGTGGAAATACAGGAAGGGAGGGTACAGGTTTGCAGGACTCATTTATGGTCATGTTGAATTCAAAGTGGATGTAATAATAATACATGTTGATATCATTCTGAATGATGACAGAAATTGGATGCAAAGGAACATTGTGAACCAGGTGCAAAAATCTTGTGCCAATATAGCTCAAGAGATGAACTCTCTGAGGCGTCGGGTGTTATTAAGCTGAATGTTGTGAATAAGATGGAAAAGTATTTTTTTATGAGGAATTTAAAAAATGGCTGTAGATCTGCACTGACAAGTGAGAAAATAGCCAGCTCTACCTGTTAACCCCAAGGTATTCAAGGTGAAGGAGGAGGCTCCCGTTAACATGGCCTCACAAGAGAACCAGCCTTCGGAAAGAGGAGAGCAGAAGGCAATTTTTTACGGGTTAGGTGGAAGTTGTGGGGACATGAAATAGTGTCCTAAGAGGTATTTCCAGTTTTCTCTGAAGGATGATACCTTCACCTTCAAAGATTGTTCTTTTAATAACTTTTCAAGTACAATAACTGCACATAGTCAAAGATGGTCAAGTACAAAGGAAATAAGATACCACAAATGAAAATCAGCAGCACGACCCCACCTTCTGAAGAATTAACAATGGATTCTCAAAGACATAGATGTTGAAATGACCAGACATAGACTATAAAACAAATCTTACTGTGTTTAATAAAGACAAGCTTGAAAATATTTGCAGGGAATAAGAGAGTGTATAAGGTTATATAGTAGGTTTGAAGAAAAGGAACAGAACTCAGTTGAGATCTCTCAACATCCTTGTTGTTGGAACATTCTCTCTGGGACCCCTGAGCCCATCTAACCTCCAGTCTGTCCATCAACTGATCGCTGCTCAGTCACCTCAGACAATGCCATTGGGAGCAGGAGAACTGCCTAGCTGAGCCCTGCCTGAATGCCTGACCCATAATGAGGGAATGTGTTTTCTTTCCCAGTCCATAAGGGGGCGTAGTTTTAAGGGCAAGAACTTCCCAGTGCCATGCCTCCTTCCCATCTCTCTCCATCTGGGAGATTTAACGGTTATGTTTGAATTTCATGGGCATGGGAAGAAACTAAGAGTCAATCACTCCAGCAGAAGTTCTAAAGAACTCCTTTAATTGGCCTGGGGTCTTGGAGAATGTGGGGGTCCCTCCCAGGTTAAAAGCCCCTTCTTCCACACCCCTTGGGACTCCATGTTTGGGTCCCCTTCCACGAACCCTGTCTTGTGGAAGCTGCTTTTCCCCTCCTAAACTCCATCTCTCTCTCTCATTTCCCTACCACTAAGTGTGGAAGCTGTATTTCCTCTTTTGGGTTCCATCCTTCTGGAAACTCTCACTCAGTGTGAGAGGAGCTTTCCTTCTCTGGTTTTCCCCTCTGGGAACCCTTCTCACTCAGTGTGAGAGTGGCTTTTCTTCCTTTCACTTAGTGTGAGAGTTAACTATTTCTTTCTCCTTCTCCTTTTTCTCTCTCTGCTTTAAATAAAATCACTTTCTACAAACACTTTGGAGTTCGGCATTTACTTTTATGATGCACTGCGCCGTGGTCTCCTCTCTCATTCTTGGACCAAGAACCTGGAGAAACGTCCTCTCAGGGGAACTGAGGGCACCCTGAACCCCTGCACCCCAAGGTGACAATAAGTCATGGTATAAGTAAAAGTGAGTACCCAGCCACACCGTAAAGACACAGAGCCTGCCAGAAGCCTGGGCATCTGTTACTCTGACCCCTGCCTCACCTCTAAAGGCACCTGCTATCTTGGCCTTCGTGATCTATAACACAGTGCACTTCTAAATATTGCATATGTGTCCCTAAACGACATACTGTATCCACAACATTTAAAACCTTATTGATTGTGAAGTGTGCCATTATGTTATGTACCAATAATAAGAAAAAACAATGCAATTAAACTGACATGTTCTTGATTAGAATTTTCATTTTATGGTTATTAAAAAGAATATTTATCACTTGCAACTTACTAACTCAAACTGATGCCTCACACACACATGAAAACAAATAAAAAATTCTTAAGCAGCTCAAACTGCCAAA